TCTCTCTCTCTCTCTCTCTCTCTCTCTCTCTCTCTCTCTCTCTCTCTCTGTGTGTGTGTGTGTGTGTATGTGTGTGTGTGTGTGTCTGTGTATTAAATACACATGTATGTACTTGTGTGCACACTCACCTCCCTGTCCTCTCTTGATATCCCAAATGAAACACTACTGAAAGGTTCAACAAGGAGACTCCCATCCCTTGGGATATCTCATTTAATATCTCTTTATTGTCAACACAGATCTTTACATTTTGGGAGAAGCTGGTGGTCTATCTCAAATGGGCTTTGGCATAGAGCACTGAAGGCCCATGGTGTCTTTCAGCATTAAAAGTTTCCTCCTATGAGAAAGTATAGATCAGTGGTAGGGTCTATGATTAGGCAAGGCACTGGGTTTAATTATGGGGGGAAGAGAGAGAGAGAGAGAGAGAGAGAGAGAGAGAGAGAGAGAGAGAGTTGTCCCTAGCCTCCGTGTAACCCATGAATAAAACCTCTGCTTTCCAAGCATAAAGTTGGAAAGGAAAGAAGACCAGGAGAAGATAGGCCTTACCATTGCATGTAGGGTAGGTGTCCGTCCAGGCTGGCTGCTGGTGAAGGAGGTTGTTGGCTGGGTTGAGATTCATTACACCACTTCCTTCCAGAATCATGATCTGCAAAGGATCAAACAGTTCTTTAATCTGTGCCTCTTAGAAATGTCACTGAAGAGTACAGAACATGGAGTTCATTTGGGGAAGAGAGAGAGAGAGAGAGAGAGAGAGAGAGAGAGAGAGAGAGAGAGAGGAAAAGACAAAAAGAAAGAAAGGAAAAAAGGAACCTGCCCTTCCACCCATTGCCAAGCCCTTTCAGCAAAAGCAAAACTCATGGCAATTAAAATTTTCCAGGTTCAATTTTCATATGCATGAGGCAAGTTTTTACAGCCACCCATTCATAAATGAATAATCTCTGATCAGAAACGAAGCCAGGAGGAAAACACAATGCCTGCTTGCAGGGCAAGCCTGGCCAGCATCCAAGTGCTTCACAAAAGTGAAAATACCAGAGAGGTCTTATTTGAGGTGAAATTTCGATCAGTGAAATCTCAGACCTAGTCCCTGTGTGAGACAATGCTGTGCATCCCCACACGAGTGGCCACCATACTTAGGGATGAGGAACATTTCCACAGTGCTGAGTTCTCCTTGGAGTCAGCTGGTCATCCGAGAGTCTTCATCCAATCTAAGTAGAGCTCCTTAAGCATTTTGACTCTGGGCTAAGATTAGTAATCCTTTGATTTCTGTGACAGACACTTTGTCTTACTAGTACAGAAAAACTAAGATTGCTATGTTCTGCTAAAAAGTTATAGCTAGCATCCCTTCTGATAGAGACCTGGAAGATCCAACAGGCTTTGAAATCATCCTCAAGACAAGTTCCTTGGCTTCTCAGCCTTGAGACCCAGGAGAACAGTTTTCATTGAGAACCAGTGTAGAACATTGGAACAATGTAAAAATTTTACATCTCAGAAAAAAAATCCATAACATTTATCATGTACCTACTCACAAACTGGACACCCTCCACACCACACTACAAGTTAGAGCCCAGGAGTGTGTGCAGTCATGGGGGTGGGGACAGGGGCAGGGTTTTTCTGAAGCCTAATGAACCTATTCACAGTCTCTCCTTCCTCACACTTTATCTTAGCGGAAAGGCTGAGAAGCATTGCCCCTTATTATTTATAAAATGATGTAGTGTGGATAACCACAGATCATGGATGGGTTTTTTTGTCCTATTTGGAGGAAATTTTACATCCTCATGCATTACCCATATCAACAGAATGGTCCTTCCCCTCAAAATCTCTCTCTCTCTCTCTCTCTCTCTCTCTCTCTCTCTCTCTCTCTCTCACACACACACACACACACACACACACACACACACCAATTCAGCTCCTCTATAGTTGGTTCTGTGTAGAAACTTATCTAGAAAAGATATATAACCTTGAGAAAGCATATAATACACCCATAGATTCATTTATTCAGCAAAGGGTTATCAGTCTGATGGAGAGCTGAGGACAGAGCAGCACTTAGGAGTTGAACTGGGCCAGACACCACTTGCGATTGCTGACCTCGTGGTCACTGATGCTTGCTGAGCACATTAACTTACATCGAGCATGAGTGGAAAGTGAAGAAAGCAAGCCAGAGTAGAAACAACAAAGACAATTCAGTTAGAGAAGCTTGGGAGGAAGCAGGAGCGCTGCAGCCTCCACGCTGGCACCTCAGGAGAGCTCTGAAGCCAGGAGAGCTGGGGGGAGTCCCAGCTCTCCCATTGCTAGCCTGAGTGAGTGTGAACTCACACGGGTTACTCAACATCTCTCAGCCCATACATTGGTTCCCGTATGTAAAAATGTGGATGATCACACCTAGCCCGGACACTGGTTAGAGATCAAACACCGTTCTACACTTATGGCTCTTGGCACAAGGTCAGACACAGTTAAGAGAAACCACCGTGAGGAAAATGGCTACCTCTGTGGATAACCTGGATGCAAATCAACCCTGGGCCTATGTTTCTCTATCTAAGAAGGTAAAACTGATTCTCAAGCCCCCTTCCAGAAACCTTTTTCATTCTCACCTTGAGAGAAGGGAAACCAATCAGATCAAACCTTCCTTTCACACAGTAAGGGAGGCATTTTCTCATCTGGCTTTTTAGAACAATACCCCTAAGCTAATTCATCCTTCAGGGACTTTAAGGCAGAAGAAAGTCTGTGAGACTCAGAAGGCAGCTAGGGAGGGACAGAGCCCAGCCCTAGCTTTTTGTTTGCTCAAGGCTGGGTTTCTTCCTTGGCAGCATTTGCTCACCCACAAGCAGTGGAAAGGTTACTTTTTAACCCCGAAAGGGTTGCAGCTCAGAGCCCAGCCCTGCTGGAGAGAGCAACCCTGCAGCCCCAGAGGATGGCAGAGATAGGCCTCCTGTCATCCATTCCCAGAACTCCCCTACAGGGCTGATTCAAAGTGACTGGTGGGGACAAGACCTGCTGGATCCAGTAGGCACCTCCCTCTTACTCAATTCAGAGATTTATCCTCTGCTTCCTAAGAGAGGCAGGTGGTATAGGGGCTGGACCTACTCTTCTGAGTTGAGGAGGGAACAGAAACTCTAGTTTCTCTGCTCACTGATCTCTGCATCCATCTGGCTCAAAACTTCCCGAGCCTCACTTGCCCCAGCTGTACACAATGGGCATATCACCAAACTCAAAGCCTGCAAAGAATCACCTGATACTGTTTATGTCAAGATCTTAGACGTTCATAACAAGAACTGGGGCTGAAGAGGTGGCTCAGCAGGCAAGAACACCTATTGCTCTTGTAGAAGACCCTGACTTAGTTACCAGTATCCACATGGTGGATCACAATACCCCTAACTCCAGTTCCAGGGGATCTGGTGTCCTTTTCTCACCTCCTCGGGGACCAGGCACACACAAGGTGCATATACATACATGTAGGCAGAACACTCTCACACATAAATACATGAAAAACAAATCTAAGAAAACTTTAATAAGAAGCAGCATAAAAACATTGCTTAAAAAAAAAAGAATTTGGTGTCTTGGGCCACTTCTCAGCTTCTAATCAGGCTATTCTCCTTGGCGCACGCATCATTTCTCGACACACTCGCCTGGAAACATCCATAACTACTCCCAGCTCACAGAGAAGCCTTCGGAACTACAGAGTCTCAGTTGTTCATCTTCCCCATTGCACTACCTCCCAAACCCTCCTCCCTTTCAGCACCCCCCTTTCCAGGGGAAAACAGGCAGCATAGTGAGGGGCCCTTTTTATAGGGCCCTTTAAATGGTTACCACTCATAAAAAAGTTTATGTGGCTTAACCCTTAGTGAGTCAGAGTTCATCGGAGCTCCCCCAGGCTTGTGAGTAGAGACAGTCCTAAACCCTGACAGCAGCCACAGGAGCCACGGGAGCACAAGAGGCACTTTAAGTGGACTAGGCTAACCAAGTGCCTTTAGCCAAGTCTACTCCCTTCCAGGCCCAGCTTTTCAAATATAAAATGTAGACATTTGTCCTCCATCAGCCTCTCAGGACGGTTGAGGAGATCAAATAAGATAATGGATAATAAATATGCCTTGAGAACTATAAAAAAGCTAGATTATGACCAACGTACCCACACCCCCGTGTACTAATATAGATGTTCTGTGCTTACACTGATTGGTTTATGGAGTGTAAAAGGCTACCCTTTTAATTAAAAGGAGCGAAGATTATTTAGGGCTTGTTTTCAGCTCCCTACTTTGCCTTCAGCATAGCTTTCTTTAAAAAACAAAAATGTACTATTAAATGTATGAAGTCCTAGAATCTGCAGGACCCCAGTCAGGTTCCAGGTTCCATCTGGCTCTGTGACTTTGAATCTATTCCTCATTCCGAACCCAGGCAATGGTGAGGATGACAGGCAGGGTGCCCTGAGTCACTAAGCATAAAGAAGAGCTGTTCTGCAGAATAAATAATACAGTGGCTTTAGAAGTGTCCAAATCCAGTGCATGGTGTGCCCACAACCCAACTTAAAAGTAGCCCTCTCTTTCTTTTAAGTGGCAAATGTCAAAGGTGTTGCTATAACACATCTCATCTGTGCTGGGACTCAATCTACACATCAGAGACTGAAAAGGGCTTCCTGTGCCATGTGTTCAAGATGACCTGGAAACAGAACTCAATTCTCTCCAGCCTCAGCTTGAGGGACGGATACTGACAGTACTGTCAGCAGGCAGAGCAAGGGCATAAAGGACTGGACTCCCCTCATGGCAGAAAGGGGCATGCTTCTCAGCATTCCCACAATCAAATTTGGTGCTGAATGATTCTTTCTTGAAATTTCTAATTAAGGCCTAGTATATGTGCATATTTTGGAGGGTACAGTCTGACAATTCATACATGTATGAAATATATAATTAGTATTTCTTCCTTTCCATTAGTCATTTGCTTGCATTTGGAATGCTTCTGCCCCAGTTGCTTTGAAATATAAAATGGATGATTATAGACTGTGGTTACACTATTGTTCTGAAAAACACTGAAGCTAATTCTTCCTCTAATTGCATTTTGCCACCTGCTAACCTTTTCTTCTCTACCTGCTTCCTTGCTACTTTCCTAGCCTCTAACTCTACCATTCTCTCTTCTTCTATGAGATCATTATTTAACCTGCCACCAAGGAGTGGAAGCAAACATGTAGTGTTTGTCTTTCTATGTCGGGTTTATCCCTCACTCTGATGCCCTCCAGTTCCATCCCCACTGCCACAAATAACAAAATTCTATTCATTTCATGGCTGAACACTAGTCTATTGCATATATGGACCACATTTTCTTTACCTGGTCATCTGTCAAGGAGCCATTCCTTGGCCCCCTGTAAATCCTGTTGTAAGAAACAGGAATGCAGGTAGAGCTGGGACATTCTTTGGTGTGGAAGTCGTCACACACAGGTAGGGTATGCAGCACCACCCATGGTTTCTACCCACTAGATTCCACATGCTGGAAGCTCTCTCTTTCTTTTATAGTGTCCCCTGAAGCAAAGTCACCCCTAGTTGGGAACTATGGTTCAAACTAAAGCCAACAGAGGTGATGGATGGGCAAACAACATAAGACTCTAAGATGCTAACCACAGGAGCTTCTGGGCTTACATGATTCCAAGGGACCATACTTCCTCTA